ATTTCTTCCTTCTGTTGCTCATAAATGCTGATAATCCAGTGCACAGCAACACAAGCTAATAAAAGTAAGTGGTTTCAACTTAACCAGTATTAACTGGGATAGACAAAGTATGAAATGCTTAGAAGGGATGGAATGCTTAAAATGTGTCCAAAAGAGTTTTCAAGCCAGCATGTAGGAAATCCTACAAGAAAGTGGATGGTGCAGGACCTAGGTTTAGGGAACGAAGCTAGGCAAAGTGGTGGATGTGACAGTAGGGGAGCATTTCGGTGATAGTGACCATAATTCAGTAAGATTTATAATACTTTTGGATCAGGACAAAAATGGAAACGAAATAAAGGTTCTGAATTGTAGGAAGGTCTGTTTTTCTAATAAGATAGGATGGTATCTCATCAAAGTGGAGTGGGAGCAGCTACCTTCAGGAAAATTCAGGAAATCAGGAAAAGGAGGCTTATGGTAGATACTGAAGGGTCAAAACAGTGGATGCTCCAGAGGATTTAAGAAAGCACAGGGGTCACCTTAAAAAATAAATTAGGAAAGTGAAGAAGGGACACGAATAAACACCAGCAGATAACGTTATGGAAAATCCATGTCTGTTTTAAAGTACAATAGGGGCATAATAACAACCATGGAAATAGTAGGGTCTATTAGGGGCCAAGGTGAAAATCGATTTATGAAGCTGGAAGACATAGTTGAGGATTTAAACGGAGAAGGAAGATGGAGGCATGGAAATCGGGGAGGGGGTTGTGATAAACTTGAATGAATTAGCTTTAAGAGGAAGGAGGTATGAATGGTTTTAAAAGGCTTGGAAATGGCTGCTGTAAGAGGCAAATGTGGAGATTGCAGAGTCTCTGACATCAATTTTCACATTGCCTCTGGCATAGGACGTGTGCAAGGAAGTTAAAGGTCAGCTAATGTAGTACTATCCTTCCAGAAGGGTGGGAGGGATAAACCAGGAATCTACAGGCCAGTGAGCCTAAAATCAGTGGCAGGGAAACTACTGGAAACAACTCTGAGGGACAGAATTAATCTCCACTTGGAGTAGCAAGGATTAATCTAGGCCAGTCAGCATGGCTTTGTCAGGGGGAAATCATATCTCACAAATTTGATTTTTTTTTTGAGGAGTTGACTAGGTTTGTAGATGTTAATGCATTTGATGTAATCTACATGGACTTCAGCAAGACTTTTGATAAGTTCTTGCATGCAGACTTGTTAAGAAGCTAAAGGCCCATGGGGATCCAGGACGCTTTGGCAAATTTGATAAAATATCAGTTTAGTGGCAGGAAGCAAATATGATGGTTGTAGGTGTTTTTAATGACTGGAAGCTCGTATCCAATGGTGTGCTACAAGATTCGATGTTGGGTCCCTTGCTTTTTGTAGTGTACATTAATAACCTAAGACATCAGTGTAGGATTTAGATTTTTATTTCGATTTAGGTTTTATTGTCACATGTACTCAAATACATGAATGCAGACATACAGTGAAAAGTGTACAAAGTCACCATTCTCTGGCGCCATCGCAATATACAAAAGACAGGATTAAAGACAGAAGCAGAAACAAAAGAAACAGCCAAAAGCAAAGGAAACATCTAGATTACTTCCCACCTCTGCCATGAGTCTCGCCACTAGAAAAACAAAGCCACAAAGTCAATCCCTCAGTCTGTGAGCACTCAGGTGCCCAGGTACCTGCGCTCAGCCACTGCCTCTGCCATCAGGTACCCAGGGCCCAGCCATGGGCCTGGAGCCACACCGCCACTACTGGAATCATGTTGCCATTCTTCAGCGCCATCTTGCCTCCACCGACGTTGTCACTGCCGTGAGTCCACACTGGGCCAATTTCAGCAATGCAGCTGCCGCTGAAGCAGATGGGTTCCAAACTGGGCTCAAACTCTATGCTGGGCCCACCATGCCAAAGCAGCCGGTGCTTCATCCTGGCTTACGTTGTTGTTATTGTTGCTGCCTCCTGGGACCACCGTTTCAGCAAAGGAGCCCACTGCTGCCAACCCCACAGGAAGGAACCGTTCCTGCCGAGAAAGGAAAATGATCAGCAAGTTTGCAGTTGACATGAAAATTGGTGGTGTGGTTAGTAATGAGCAGGAAAGCATTAGATTACAGGATGATATTAATGGGCTACAGATGAACAGTGGAAAACGGAATGAAATCCTGAAAAGAGTAAGGTGATGCATTTTGGGAGGACTGAGAAGACGAGGAAGTCCATGTTGAATGGTAGAATCTAGGAAGTACAAAGTATCGGTTGATGTTTGGTGTGCATGTCTGTCAATCCTAGAAGGCAGTGGGACAGGGGAAAATAGGGTGGTTACAAAGACATATGGGATACTTGCCTTTAATAGTCAAAGGTACTAAAAATAAAAGTAAGGAGCTTAAAACGGAGCTGATTATATTGTTAGTTGAGCCACAGCTGGAGTACTGTTTGCAGTCTAGTCACCACACTGTAGAAAAGATGTGATTGTACTAGAGACAGTACAGAAGAGATTCACCAGGCTGTTACCTGGGCTGGAGCAATTCTGTAATGAAGAACAACTAGATAGGCTGGGTTGTTTTCCTTGGAGCAAATAAGGCTGAAAGGGGAATTTTATTGAGGTATACAAATTTCAACAAGTCGTAGATAGGGATAAAGGTTTCCACTTGGTAGTGGGGTCAACAGTTGGTACAGTTCTAAGGTACAGGGCAGGGGGGCTTTAGAGATGGTTTATCGCTACCACCCTTCTTGAATAATGGTACTACAATTCTTTTTCACCCAGAGAGTGGCCAGTACTTGGAACTCATTGCCTAAAAGGATAATAGAGACAGGAACCCTAAAGACATTTAAGAATATTTAGATGAATATTTTGCTTTGGCAAAGTATACAAGGCAATAACCATCTGTTGGAAAATGGGATGTTTGATGACTGGTGCAGACATGATGAGCTGAAGGGTCTCTTTCTAAGTTGTAAAAACTGTCTCTCAGCCCCAGAGGCAATAGACAAGCCTAATATATGCGCTGTGGCATTAAAAGGCACACACCCAGATTTTTAAGAGTTAAACGAATAAAATTATTTAGAGTTAAAAATGCACGTATCGTTTATGTCACTTATAAATATATACGTTGTTCGGGTCCCCTCTCCATAGAGGTGAGCGGGAGCGACAGAGTCGACTCATTCTGATGAAAACAGAATTAAATGACGATCAATTGAATGGTGAACAAGTGGTCAGCTAGCATGAAGCCTTAGACCAAGAACTTGATGGCGTGGTGTCTTTTTTTTTCCAACAAAAGAGAAATCTTTTTGAGATCTACAAAGAACTGAAATGCCTCATTGAGGCTCTTAACTCTCTATCCAGGAACGTTCAGCTGTGATGGGAGCACAAGGAGTGCGCTCACCAAACAGCCCTGTCCTTTCCCGTCTGACATTCCTTCCCACTGAACGGTAATTTACCCCTCTGTCATGGCCCACCCGTTTTTTTTTAACATTTCCGAACACACCGGCCCCGGTGTATTAGATTCCGGTCTAAAAAGAACTCTGGGGGAAAAGAAAACAAGCACAACACGTCTCTCTGCATCTGTAAAAGAAAGTTAATGTATCGGAGTCTGCAAGCCTTCGTCAGCATGGTTCTGAGCAGAAATGTCAACCCGTCTTTTATTTTTATAGATGTCGACAGACGTGCAGTTTTTTTTTGTTTTGGTTTCCGATTTTCACTGTTTCTTGTCCATTTGCTCGATTCTGTGTAGAGGCGAACACAATAAATCCATTCTCCATCCGCGCCAAGTGTGCCTTGAGGGTTCAGTGAGGAATTACACGTGCACGGGACAATTGGAGTTCATTGCACTATATATGACTAACAACACAATATATAATGGTCTCACATATATGAAATACAGAGAATAATTTAGGACACTGTGAATAATACAATGACAATATTTTTGACCTGGAGCTATCAATAACTCAGAAAAGCTAATGTATCACTTGTATCATCTCTTTTCAGTAATTCTAACGCACATGTTTTACTGCTGGAATTGGATCGCCGTGCAAAACCACAACTTCACAAATGAAGGGCGTATATGTGTGAAATTATGGAACTGGGCAAAATATAAAGCTAATGGAGCATGTGCCTTCTAATGAACAAGACCGAATTATAGTCAAATCCATCTCTGGGGGGAGGGGAGAGTGAAATACTGGCAAAACTTCCAAGAAATGAAAAAAACTGATACATATTTCTTCCTAATCTTTGAAGTGACCAAGCAAGTAAGTGGCCATTGCGATAGGAGTCAAAATGCTGCTGTCTCGTGATGGAACGTATCAGAATAAACAGGGAACCCGTCGTGGATAATTTTGCAAACAGATAAGTCGCAGCTTACACACACACACATCGGTTGCACGGGTGTACTCCCTGTGACTGCCGCTGGGAGCTGCGTCTAGATCGTTCTTCCCAGGGTCCTGTCTATCTAGCCCCTGTCCAGCACCACTGAAGAAAACAGGTTTTTTGGTCCTTATCACTGTCGCTGTTTGTGGGACCTCGCTGTGCCTTGGACTGACTACTTTACAACTGTGCCTCCACTTTCAAGATGCTTCGTTGGCCATGAAGCACTTGACGGGGACCGAGATGGTGAAAGGCGCTATGCAAATGCAAGTTCTTCTTTCACCGCGTCAATCAAACAAAACCGATTAATAGGAGCAGCTGGTTGGGCATGGAGGCCATACAAAGATGTGCCTGCACGTACATTCACAGCCAAACACATATACAGACTCACATATGGATAAAGAGCAGGAGCGGAAGATGGATAGGCACAAATATTGGACTAAGTAGCCGTCACGTGAAAACTCACGTTCAATGATTTCCTGGGGAAGTCACCCGCATTCTGCGCGTTGGGAACAGGAGCATTAGTCCCAGGGTGAGAGTAGTTCCCATGCTGCTTCATAAAGCCGGCGATCAGCTTTGGTCAATAGGACAGGGTATGAGAGAGTGCCGGAGATAGATAGCGCATGTCTCATCTCCCCCTGCCAGCCACTAGACGCTCCCAACACCACCATCTTGCATGTGCACCGATCCCAGCGCCACAACATTCAGCTGGACACATTCGCTCTGACTGTGTGTGTGTGGAGACTGCGGAAAAAAAAAATGCCCAGGCTGGATTGTTAGGAGGAGACCGCGCTGTGCCCTGTGTGTAACCATCCTCGATGCCTCTCAATTACATCTAACAGGACAAGATGAAGCGGATCGGCAGGCAAATTGTCTTGCTTTGCTCTGGCTTTTTGGGGCTTGCTTTAGGAGCTTTTCCCACCAGTGTACAAATAGGTAAGATCATCGATCCGATTTGAACAAAACTATTTCTCGCACAATATGAATCTTGTAGCGATCTGCCCGTGTACCATCGACTGGTGCATTTCAGATACAATGGCTAGGATCTCTCTCCCTTTTGCTCAAGAATTTGCGATCAGTTATAAAATATGGATGCGTGTGGAAAGAAGCGGAAAGATAGTTATTTCAGGAAAAGGTGGAGTTGTGGAAGATGTTGGCCCTTTTCTCGTGTTTTTGGAGGGAGTACTAGGTGCTGTTGTATTGTGTTGGAACACTGCAGTACTTGTACTGGGGTTGTCAGCTCTTAATGGGATGCTGCTGGCTCGATCGCACTGATTGCTAGCCAGTTACTGAGAAAAGTTCTCATCTGAGCGTACACACACACACATACATATATGTATATACATATAGCTTGTGTTTCGTTCACGTTGTAAACTGCAATCTAAAGAAAAGGCACGTCAGATCAGGGTAGCACTACACCAGTCAGGGTCGCTAATGAGATGCATTACCTGCTTCTGTGTGCGTGGTGTGTGTATATGGTCGTCAGAGCAAGATTGGCTGTTTGAGGGGAAAAGTTAGTATTCTCTATTATACGGACAAGTTCTGGAGACAAGTAATTCTGTAACATTGGAAGGTGTAAAATGGAATACCAATTAGCTTGCACATGCTGTAAAGTTAGTTCTGTCGGTGCCGGTATTTCTATTTTTAATGCTAATTGATATATCTGGTGTCTACCAACGTGTGCAATATTGCATCGAATGTCATTTAGCAAAAGACCGTGTTAATGAGATGCTTCCTGTTCTGTCTCCACTGCAAAATGACCCATGTTCAAAAGTTGAAATTCCATTTTCGATTGCACCTTTTATTTTGCTGTTGTGGCGATGTTCATTTTTAAAACGTGATTTGAATGTCTTAATGACATTGGGAAGTTTCCCATATACTAAAACGGTGTGTTTCCCCCCCACCCCTCCCGGGCTGGTAGTCAGTAATCGATGTGTCCATTTGGTCTTCGTTGCACGGCGGAATGCTGACGTTATTTGATCTGTAAACATTTTAGCCGGGGTGGGGGTGACAGTAATGGTTTTATGTCAGAGCTTAGGGTCTTTTTTTTAGATATCGGGCTCTTACACAGCATTAAACATCGATGATATTACTGAAGATTAGAAACATGGTATGGTACAACAACACCGCATTTTAAAAGTGGGTCTCTCGCTGTTTCTGTTGTGTTTGGATGGCGTGCTGATTGTAGGCTTTGGGAGTTAGGGTTGAGAATGACTTCGAACCCTTTTTTTTAAGTTCAGTCAAACTGCTGCAAACTTGTTCCCTCCACTAAAACGATGCTGCTCTCTGGGGAGTGGGGAAGACACGATTAAATATTTTGCTTGTGTCTTTACCTGAAGGTCGCTTGTTTGTTTTTGTGCAATGGTATAATGGGTTTCCAATGCATCAGTCCATGGACTCTTGTGATCACACGGAGATTGCGAATGGGATGCTGTTGCTAATTGTCCCTCCGTTGTTTTGTTTGTCCCCCTTGTTGCAGGAGGGCTGTTCATGAGATATTCTGATCAGGAATACAGTGCATTCCGTTTTGCGATTTATCTTCACAATACTAATCCCAACACGACTGAAGCACCTTTCAATTTGGTTCCTCATGTGGACAACATTGAAACAGCCAACAGTTTTGCTGTGACAAATGCCTGTAAGTAGAAACTACTTTTTTTTTTGTTTGAACCGTTTATCGAAAATAATCGATTGTCACAGGGAAAACTGTAGACTGCGGCGAGTAGCCTTTTTAGCATTGACTGAATCCTTCCTGTTCTGAACACGTGATTTGAAAGAGTCATTAATACTTACAATCATTTAAGCAAAAAATGTTTCGAGTCCAGATGCTTTTAAACGTATGGTTACAGCTAAGGAGCTGGAGAGAATGCCTGTTCCTTTTTTATTAGCCATTTCGGATGAAAACCAGTTTGGCTGAATCATGGGATAACAAGGTGTAGAGCTGGATGAACACAGCAGGCCAAGCAGCATCAGAGGAGCAGGACGGCTGACATTTCCGGCCTAGACCATTCTTCAGAAATTATGTTTTTATGATGCTATCATCGTTTTCAGCTGCTGCGGGGAAATAAAGGATTTCCTTGGGAATCTCCTGTAAACGCTTTACCAGCAGATATAATTTCTATAGTTAAAACCTATGGTTGAGGTTAAAATAGAAACGCTAGTTTGGGTTAATAGATATTGGAAAATATATGGTTGGATTTATAAACGTCGGTCTATGGCGGGGTTAAGTTGTCTTTTTATTAGTAGTTCACGCATCTCTATCTTATCCTGCTGACTTGTTTCGTTTATGATTGCCTCTGTTGTTGATAATACCTGAACATGTGTTAGCACACAGATGCAAACACTTCTAGTATAATGGTTAAAATAGAAATAATAGAACATCAGTAAGCACTGTATCTAGTGTACCTACGAACTTGAGATATTTATTAAATATTTGCTTCTTTAGTTTTTCCAGATTAAGTTTTCATCTCCTTAATGATAATTATAAAGGCAAAATCTGGACCAGTTTAACACCCCATGAATATGTTCAAGTCTATCTTGAGGCAGTCCAACTCGTAGAATAGATAAAAAGTTTTTGTATAGAATCATGGCTGGCATACCCTCAACTTTACTATCGCCATCAAACACAAGGGATAAACCCTGGTTCCATTGATGAATGCAGAGGGGTAATTCAGGAGGAGCAGGAGGCATACCTGACAACGAAGTGTCCACTACTTTAACGTCCAGCACTTCCCTCTGTTGAGCACAATGGTGGGATGACCCTTAGGTTTTTCTTGTTGGCTCTTTTGCCAGAGCACCTGGAGAAGGTATTTCTTCCCCTCTTCCATTGCTTCACTGCCACTTCAAAGAGTTATGCACAGATCTATTCTTGATCCCTTCATCTTCCTCTCAATTTCTCTTTGACACATAATCTGCTGATGTATGTGAGGTCAGCTGTGTGCGAATGCTGATCATATTCAATTTTCCTTCTCACACCAAGACCTGATAAGCCATTGTCTTTGCTTTCCATTACTGTTACACCACATATTTAAAATTTTTACTCTTGTGTTGAAATCCTTAATAACTGTGGCCCTCCTTACTTGAGTAACCTTGTGCATTTTTTCTATCATTGTGGTGCCTTCAGCTTCCTCAGCCCCATGTTCTGGAATTCCCTTTTAGAATGCTCTTTACTTCCTTCTTCTTTTAAGACCTTTCTTTAAAATTCCCTCTGATCAACTTCTTTTCCCCTTGTTTTAGCTCAGTTTCTATTATTTCCTTTTGCACCTTTTAAATTTTTTCTGTTTTTTTTTCTTCAAAAGCAGTATAAAAATGAAATGGTTTTTATTTTGAAAATGTGACATTTTTTCAAAAACAAGTGAAAGATGACACAGACCATTTTTAAAAGGTTTCAATTTAACTGAAATTAGTTCATTACATATTATGCAATCCTCATTTAATGTGCTGTTTTGTTATTCACTCACACCGGATGTAGGCATTGCTGGCTGAGCAAGCATTGCCTATCCATATTGGTGATGTTCCTTAAGGTGATGTTAAGCTGCCTTCCTGAAACTCTGCAGTCTATTTGGTATAGGTGCACCCACAATGCCGTTAGAGGTGGGGTTCAAGGATTTTGACCCAGTGACAGTGAAGAAATAGCAATATATTTCTAAGTCTCAATTCTGACTGGCTTGGAGGGGAACTTGCACGTGGTGATGTTCCCGTGTATCTGCTGCCTTCCACCTTCTAGGTGGAAGTGGTCAAGGATTTTGAAGGTGCTGTCTTAGTAGCCTTGGTGAATTTCTGCAGTGCATCATCTAGATGGCACCACAGAAGGACCAGATGCTTGTGGATGTACTGCCAATCAAGCAGGCTGCTTTATTCCGGATGATATCACCCTTTGAGAGCTGCACTGATTCTGACAAATGGGGAATATTCTGTCATATTCCTGACTTGTACCTTGTGGACAAGCTTGGGGAATCAGGAGGAGAGATACTTACTGCAAGCTTCTTAGCTTCTGACCTGCTTTAGTAGCCATAGTACTTGTATGACTAGTCCAATTCAGTTTCTGATCAATGGTAATCTCCAGGATATCAGTAGTGAGGTTTCAGTGTTGGCAATACCATTGAATGTCAAGGGACAGTGGTTAGATTCTCTCTTGATGGAAGTAACAATTTCCAGGCATCTGACGCATGGCCATTATTTTCCAATTGTCAGCCCAAGCCTGGATATTATCAAAAGCTTGTTGCATTTGGGTACAGACTGCTTCAGTATCTGAAGAATTGTGAATGGTCTGAACATTGTGTAATCATTGAACATCACCATTTCTCACGTATTATGATGGAGAGAAAGTCATTGAAGAACAGCTGGAAATAGTTGGGCCAGGGACATAGCCTAAGGAACTCCTGCAACAATGTCCTGTAACTGAGAGGATAGACCTCCAACCAAAACAGCCTTCTTCTCTTGTGCCATGTTTGATTCCAATCAGCAGAGTTTTTTCCCCCGATTCCTATTGACTCCAGGTTTGCTAGAGATCCTTGATGCCACATTATCAAAGGCAGTCACTCTCACCTCACTTGAGGAATTCAGCTCTTTTCTCAATTTTCAGACTAAGACTGTTATGAGGTCAAGAACTGAGTGGCCGTGATGGAACCCAAACGGGGTGTCATTTGAGCAGGTTACCGCTCAGCAGAAGCTGTTTGATAGCACTGTTCATGACACCTTTATTCAGTTTACTGATGATTGAGAGTAGACTGATGAGGTGGTAATTAGCTGGGATGGATTTGCCCTTTTTTTGTGTTCAGGCATGCCTGGGCAACTTTCCACATTGTTGGGCAAATGCCAGTGTTGTAGCAGTCTGGAATAACTTGGCTATGGGTGTGGTTAGTTCTGGAGGACAGGTCTTCAATACTACTACTGGAAGGTTGTCAGTACACATAGTGCTTTGCAGTATGCAGTGCCTCCAACCATTTCATGATACCACGTGGTGTGAATCAAATTTGCTGAAGACTAGCACTTGTGATGCTCATGTTTTCTGGAGGACGTCTCAATATCTCATCTACTCAGCACTTCTGGCTGAAAATTGTTATGAATGATCAGCCTTACCTTTTCTTTTTGCATCGATGTGCTGGTCTCCCCGATTTATTGAGGAATTTTGTGGAGCCTCTAACCTTGGGATTCTACTCACTGTCATCAGTTGGATAGCAAGCATACTCCTGGCAATTAATTAGCCACCTTTTTATTGTTTGAGGCACCTGATGCTGAAACAACTCCCAGTCAGGATCTGGAAATTCATTTCGTTGTCAAGGTCCCAACCCCAAAACAAAAATCCAACCTGTCCTGTTTTCAGGATGCAACACTCTGAATTATCTGAGCTCTGATTCTATTTTAAGATGGCTTGGTTAATGTCCAGTGGGATTGGTAGATTGACACATGCAGTTGGCTTTAGCACCGCAATTTCAGGAGAACATCAGCCTGAGCTGTTGCACAACTTCTTACTTGGATTCAGACTGCATGATGCCAGATGACCGGGTTGAATTTGTTTATGATATGCCCTACTTGAGTTGCCTATAATAATCTATGGAGACTTAGGCCTGAGCAGAGGACAAGCATACCGGTGGGTGATCAATCGGTTTGAAACTGCACTCCACTAAATCTCGTGGCTTTTGATGAAGAGATCAAAATTGGTTAAAAAACAAACCCTGAAAGAATATCTTCTATTTTCAATTTCACTGAATATTCATTTTAATTATGAACTAAAAAGACAGTTCATAACTAGTATCACTTGAACTGTGAAAATACAGTTTCTTCTCTGCAATATACATTCAAATTCTTCCCTCCTTGATTTCACAGCAAGCTTCTGCAAAAGTGTCCATGTATCTCCCTTTTAAACCTAGTGTCTTTGACCAGTTTTTGAGTCATCTGACCTAGCATTGGGTATTTTCTTGTGTGATTCGGTGTCAAATTTTGTTTGCTAACTTCCTTGTGAAACATCTTGGATTGTTTTGCTGCATTAAATATACCATAAAAATGCAAGTTCTTGCAAGAAGAGATGAGATAACACAACACAACAAATATATAGCTATGTACTTTTTTCTTCTCCCATGTAGTGCAAGCTCAGTGTTCACATTTATATTTTTCATAAGTTCCAGTAAACAATGTCCAAGTGTTGCCTGTTTGGGCAATATTAACTATTGTCTGAGGCAGAAATTTGGTTTAAGCCATCAAATGAATGAATATTTAAAGCAGATGTTGTCATACTTTAGGATACTGATGCTACGTCCATTCTTCAACTCTGCAAAACAACATCAGGAGTTCCTAGCCCCACAACCTAATTGAATTAATCTGAATGTCCATCTGGAGTCGCTCAGTAGAGGTCTCATATTTGATATCTTGATGGAGTAGCAATATCATTTATTTTTCCTTCAGTGCAAGAAACCAAATAGCCACTGATATAATTGAAGGAGATCTAAGCATCTTGAATTACATTTGCCAATGTTTTGACATCTGTACCCGGAGGAAACTTGCATTTAGGAGTTAACAAAGTTATGCAATGGTGCAAGTTAGAGTTAATACTTCTTCTCCTCCTCCTAGCACATGACTTTTAATGAACACTGAATACAATAGGACTCATACATTGGTAAATTTAAATACAAAGACACA